CGGAGTGAGCTTCCATCCAATTTGGGTAGCTTGCTGTCAACCTTTGCAGCCCAAAAGACAGTTACATCTGTCAAGTAGGAAATTTAGGTACCATGTATGCAGGGAGGCTAATTTAACTAAGTTATGATGTCATAAAAATCTCCAGCAAGCATGCAAAGAATGAGGAAATACTCCATCAGTGTCACAAATGGACAGTGAAGCTCCCCTGGTGGCCAGAATACCCTCGTGAAAATTTGGAATGTGAAATAGCCTTTGTGTGTCTTTCTATATATGTTGTGTGTCTATGGCATTGAATGTTTGCCATGTATGTGTACATTGTAATCCGCCCTAAGTCCCCTGCGGGGTGAGAAGGGCGGAATATAAATACTGTAAATAAAATAAATATGCAGAGTGTATTTCCCGCTCCACTGTGTAATTGCAATAAGTTCCCACTAACTGTAGGATTGTGTATTGAAGAGCATGTCATTTTCAAGCAAGCATGGGATGCAGAAATCCTCACTGTTAGCCATTAAGTACTCAAAATAGCTTCACTTTTATAAATGTTTGAGGATGGTTCTGCACTTTACATAAAAGACGCAAGTACTGAGGATAGATTAGGGTTTAGAGCCACAAGCAACAAGGCATGTTTCTTTTAATGTCTGTTTATACCTGATTGTTTTGAAATTCCCCAGTGTATATACATCTAAAGATGTGGATATATCAGCCACACTGATATGTTCGTTGCAGAAAAAGCTAGTGTATTCTATGTATACTCACAGAATCATAGAGTTGGAAGAGACCTCATGGGCCATCCAGTCCAACCCCCTGCCAAGAAGCAGGAAAATTGCATTCAAAGTACCCCTGACAGGTGGCCATCCAGCCTCTGTTTAAAAGCTTCCAAAGAAGGCGCCTCCACCACACTCTGGGGCAGAGAGTTCCACTGCTGAACGGCTCACACAGTCAGGAAGTTCTTCCTAATTTTTTTGTCGTTTCAGGAGCGACTTGAGAAACTGCAAGTCGCTTCTGGTGTGCGAGAATTGGCCATCTGCAAGGACATTGCCCAGAGGGCGCCCGGATGATTTGATGTTTTTATCATCCTTGGGAGGCTTCTCTCATGTCCCCGCATGAGGAGCTGGAACTGATAGAGGGAGCTCATCCGCCTCTCCCAGGATTCGAACCTGCGACCTGTCGGTCTTCAGTCTTGCTGGCACAAGGGTTTAACCCACTGTGCCACCTGGGGCTCTTCAGTTCTTCCTAATGTTCAGATGGAATCTCCTTTCCTGTAGTTTGAAGCTATTGTTCCACGTCCTAGTCTCCAGGGCAGCAGAAAACAAGCTTGCTCCCTCCTCCCTATGACTTCTTCACTCACGTATTTATACATGGCTATCATGTCTCCTCTTAGCCTTCTCTTCTTCAGGCTAAACATTCCCAGCTCTTTAAGCCACTCCTCATAGGGCTTGCTCTCCAGACCCTTGATCATTTTAGTCGCCCTCCTCTGGACACATTCCAGCTTGTCAACATCTCTCTTCAGTTGTGGTGTCCAGAATTGGGACACAATATTCCAGATGTGGTCTAACCAAGGAAGAATAGAGGGTTAGCATGACTTCCCTGGATTTAGACACTAGACTCCTATTGATGCAGGCCAAAATCCCATTTGTTGGCTCATGTTTAATTTGAGGACCCCAAGATCTCATGGCTACTGTGCTTAGTGCATAACATAACAGAGCTGTCTGAGGAAAAAAATAAGTGTGATAGAAGCACTCCCATAATTTGGATTTCTAAACATGTAAAAACAGCTAGGGAGTTTTCGGATTGAGGTCACCGAAATGGTGAATGAGGCTTGAAGCATTTTCCTTGTGCCGTTTTTCAAATATCCCAAATAGAGTTCCTATTTGTCGAGCGGAAGGATGTCTCAGAGCAGAATTTTGCAAAACCGATAGTGAAGTCTTTGGCTGTGAAGTGAGCTCTTCTGATGAATCATTCAGTACGAGATGTAATAAAAGGACATTTCCCTTCCATGTACATCCCTCCCACCGGCAACCCTCAGGAATATAAAAATAGAGAACTGGCTGAAGTAGCAAGCCTATATTTTAAAATTATAATTTAGAGAAGTAATCAAATTCCTTTTCAACTTGAGGAAAGGATGTAATAGCTCACAATCTTATCATTTTCCCTTTTTGACAAGCCTGTCACCTCCTTTCTGAGGCAGGGTGACTTTTTCATAGCACTCTATTGATACCGCCATTGAGCCAAGAGACTTCCATGCTCAGGCAAAATACAGAACCAATACACACATATATACATGCATACCCTGGTGAGTTTTTCCTTCTTCCTCGGGAAAGTAAGCACTAAACCACAGTGAGAATTAATTTTGTTTATATTATTATTATTATTATTATTATTATTATTATTATTATTATTATTAAAAAGTCTGAGTTAAAGAAAATAAAACCCTTTCTTGCATTTTGTGGAAAAAATATATAGTCTGGGAAAGCAAAGGAGACTGTCCAAGTCCAGGGAAGGTTAGATGGAACAAACTTCAGGCTTCACGTTGGGAAAAAGGCTGGATATAAATCAAATGAAATCAATCAATCAATGGCATCCACCCTGTCCTTCATTTTCAAGGTGAAAGAATGTCTTCACATTCAGGGAGAATTCAATGCTGGGGTCATGACCTGGATAAAAAGCAAATTCTTGATTGAATCTATGTGCTCCCTTGTTTCTCTACAAAATAAAACCGATTTTTACAACTTTCAAGTAACATATGGTGTCATTTTGGCCCTAATTCATAAATTGGGATGTGCTTTCTCCACTTTGAATAGCTGTGGAAAATACAGAGATGGAAAGGGAAAAGTTTGTATCACCTATAAATCCACACATCAGCTGGATCTGCCGACATAATACACAAGAGTACATACCCAAACACGGCTCAGCTTGAGTGCATTTTCCCTCTTGGCTGTAAAATCTGTCTTTTACAGCTTTGCAGCAAAAGCTATATGCATTCATAGAGTTCCTTCCTGACATAACACTAAAAGTGATGTTAATTCAAGTGTCTAAAAACAAAATAAAAGGAAAGAGAAAACTGAAATCCCTAGGTTTAAGTCTCTTAGGCCCCATCTATACTGCCATCTAAAATCCACATCTGCTTTAAACAGGATTATATGGCAGTGTAGACTCATATAATCCAGTTCAGATCCTGAAATATAGGACAATATGCTGTTAAAAACCTCTACAATACTGTCCAACTTCTGCTTTTAGAAAGCATTTTTGATGTTCCTCATAAATTGCTAATATTGTTGGTAGTCCTAAATAGAGTAGAGTCATTGAATAATAAGTGTTGACTCACCAGTCAGTAGTTGATTCAATGAGTCTAGTTGGGAATATCACCAGAATTCAAGCCATGATTTGTTTTAGAGGGCTTAAATTAACAAAAAGAGGCACCACCTTCTTTATGGAAACCTTTCAGAAAGATTTGGTATGGTCCAGTTAGGCGCCACTTATAGTCCAGTTTTCTTCTCTCTCTTTTGAGTCCTAAAACAAGTACTTTAAAGCCTGAAGTCTCCAAAAATGGTTTGGGTGTTTCATCCTGACTCTTTTCTGTCCAGTGAATGCTATCAGTGCTGTTTAGCTGATACTAAGGGTAGGCATTGTATATGTTCACCAATATGTTAATGAGACCAGTGTGACTTTGTAATAACAGATCAAGAACAGAGAGCATTGCCCACCTTCAGTGGCTGAAAACTGTGAATTTCTTTCTTCCAAAACCTACCTACCAAAACCCCACTTATTTCCTGGAAATGCTTGTTTACATGCACAAGGTTATTTTTTTTCCCAGTGCAATATCTCTATGAGGTAAGAGAGGCCGAGAGATGGTGAACTTCCCAGGGCCACACAATGGGCTTTAGGACCAAATACTATTCAGTTGAAGTTATACTTACTGTCCAATAATAAGGCACAGGGAATTGACTCAGTTCTTCATTTCTAAAAATTAGCATATAACAACAACAGCAACAGCAACGGAACTTTATTATCGTCCATGACTAGCATATTACTATATTCTTTTCAGGAGGAATATTATTATTTTGGACTCTCAGCTGCCTAATATTTATTTATTTATTTACAGCATTTATATCCTGCCCTTCTCACCGCACAGGGGACTCAGGGCAGATTACAATGCACATATACATGGCAAATATTAAATGCCATACACAGACAACATACAGTATATAGACAGACACACAGACGCTATTTAACATTCCAGCTTCATGAGGATATGCCCGAATTTCGGCCACCGGGGGAGCTGTCACTTTACCATCCACTTGTGACGCTGATGGAGTACTTCCTCATTCTTTTGCATGCTGCTGGAGAATTTTATGGTGTCATTAATTAGTTAAATTAGCCTCCCTGCATAAAGCGGTACCTTGATTTTTTACATGAGAGATGCAACTGTCTTTTGGGCTGCAAAGGTTGACAGCAAGCAAGACAAATGGTCAGGAGCTTACTCTGACCCGGACTGGCTTCAAACTCATGACTTTTCAGTCACGTAGTGATTTTAATTTAGCTGACTCCCAGCTGGTCCTGGGGAATGACTACTGGGATACATTCTCCCATTGCAATGCTATTGGGGGTGGGGGGATGCTTGGGTGAGCCTTACACCCAAGTAGACATGTTTAGGATTGCACTATCAGTTGTAAATAATCCTAATGGGCCCCTGCTTAAGCAATTTGGGACAAGCTATACAGGGATGGTCTATGAGTCTGTATAACAACATCATTTAGAATTGCTGTTCCAGGCGGGTGGGGGGAATGGGGTGTGATGGGTGATACATATCTAAGGAATGTATAAAGTGTCATTTAAGGAATATTCACTTTTGGAATAATGTATACTGAAATAGGTCTTGTGAGGCAACAGTTTGTTAACTGTTGGGATGTATCAAATAAAACCTATAATTAAGAAAACAGGTTCTATACTTTGCTGTTTTTGAGCGAAAACTAAATTTCAATTCTTCTTTTTCTGTGCAGAGCCTATTGCAGCTTTCCCTGGTGAACACACGTACGAAATTCCAGGTAAAAATGCATTTATTCTAGGAGGGGTTTTTTTCTTACTGCATGATTTCATTTATGATTTCTTAACATTTTATTTTCAAAAAGTGAATGTGTGTGCACAGAAAGAGCCAAAAAAAGACTAACACAAGACTGCTGCTATGCAAGCTCTTTACATTTGCAACATGCCTTTAACATCAGCAGGTGGCACTAGACCAGATGTGGTCCCTGGATGAGAGGGGGGTGAATCAGAAGAGGGCAGTCCCTTGGAGTTTAAGAGAGAAAAAGAAAGGGTCGTGAAAAATCACCTTTCCTGGATTAGCTTTTCAGGCACTTGAAAAAATCCTTTTAAAACTGTTCAGCTTTCTGTGTTAATCAAAGAATCAAAAAGGTTGTACTTACAGATTAGGATCTAATTATCCAATAATGTCAGAGTCAGCAGCAAGTAATTTCAGTATTTTCTTTCCTCATAACAAAAAGAAAATTGCACGGTGCTCAAAGATCCTTCGCAATTCTGGATTTCCTGTGTGCAAAATTCACAAAGAGGGGGGTTTATTGTGCCAAAAACCACATTTTGAGAGGGAGGTAGTGGAATGAAACCATATTTTATTTGATGTTTCCTGTGCAGAAAACGTTGTAGTTGGGGACTTATTCTATGTAAAATGTGTGTGTTGTTTGTCCATGTGCACACAAAGTAGCATTTCTACACAGGAAATACGGTGCACATTTTGTGCAGAATAAGTCCTGAACTGTGAAGCTTCGCATCAGTCTGGGATGCTCCTGGGGTTTCGTGGCATTTGCGAAACACGTTCTCTGACAGTTTTAAAAACATTTTTGAATACTTGTTCCATCCTTATTACAGTCACATATCTGTGTTTCCTACAATACTTCCTGTGCTCTGTAGGAATTGAACAAAGTGACTTGGCACATAGAAGTGTCATATCAGTCTGGGTCTCACCCTTCTGCTTAGTAAGAGAAGCTCAGCATTTGTAACATTCTTTTTTTCCCTTAAAAAAGGCATTTACTAGCTGTTTGAGAGGCAAATTTTCAAGGGTGCATTTTCTCCCACACTTGCTAGGAAACTTTTCACCCATTATATTTATGCCTGTAATGCAGATGTTAAAGGCAGTCATATTCTGCAAAAAGGCGGCAACCTATTGAGTGTTTGCAGCCTCTCCTTGTTTACTTTTGCAGTTTGTCAACTGTGTCGTTTCAATGGGGGTGGGGGTCATGGAGCTTTCCAGATATTGTTGGATTACAATGCTCTGCGTTCTTCAACGTTTAGAACAAAGATCCTCAAGCATTTTAAGCAGAGGACCGGTTCACGGTCTCTCAAACTGTTGGGCGGGTTGGACTATAGTTTGAAAAACAATTAACAAATTCATATGTCTTATTTGTAGTGCAAAAACCATGACAGAACAATACAATATTTTTTAAAAAAGAACAATTGTAATCAACATAAACTTATTAGTATTTCAAGGGGAAGTGTAGGCTGCTTTTGGCTGATGAGACAGTTTTAAGTTAATTTTGATTGTTGTTGTTGTGTGCCTTCAAGTCATTTCAGATTTAGAGACAAGGAAATTATTTTGGAGGGCCACATCCAGCCCGTGGGCCTTAGTTTGACATCCCTGATCTAGAGGGCTGTCGAATGTCCATCTCTACACTATCCGTTGGGGATGGAGGTGACCACCTATTGTCTTGTTTATTTTATTTTTAATATATTTTTATTTGGGGTAGGGGGAAGGGAATAAGGGAATATTGTTTTATGTATACATGTAAAGTGGTGGAACAATATTATCAAGAGAAAGTGGGGAAAAGAAAAACAGAAAATTGAGAAAAGCCAAAGAGTCGAGTCCCAATAACCAAAACACAGTAGCATAACTTCAAAAAAGAACAAAAAAAAAGAAAGAGAAAGAGAAAGAGAAAAAAGTAATAAAAATAAAAATAGTAATAATAGTAATACTGATTAAAAAAACAAACAGAAAAAACACAAGAAAGATAATAATAATAATAATAATAATAATAATAGTTTAAATCAGACGAGCTAGAACAAAGTTAAGAGTTTCCTGACAATCCTTCTCCTTTCATTGTGACTTCCGGCCCAATCAAAAAGCTTGAATGTTAATGGCCCAATAATAATAATAATAATAATAATAATAATAATAATAATCTTTTTTGGTCATGTCAGGAGAGACTTGAGAAACTGCAAGTTGCTTCTGGTGTGAGAGAATTGGCCATCTGCAAGGATGTTGCCCAGGGGACGCCCGGATGATTTGATGTTTTTATCATCCTTGTGGGAGGCTTCGCTTATGTCCCTGCATGAGGAGCTGAAGCTGATAGAGGGAGCTCAACCGCCTCTCCCCGGATTCGAACCTGCGACCTGTCGGTCTTCAGTCCTGCCGGCACAAGGGTTTAACCCACTGAGCCACCGGGGGCTCCAATAATAATAATAATAATAATAATAATAATAATAATAATACTTTACTTATATTCCGCTATATCTCCCCAAAGGGACTCGGGGCGGATTCTAAACATAAAACACAACACAACACATAAATACAAATTATAAGTTAACAAACTAAAATTAAATAAAAAGCACAACCATTTATAACAAACATAAGATAAAACATCAAACATTATTATTATTATTATTATTATTATTATTATTATTAACTTTATTTATACCCCACAAAATCTCTCAAAGGACTTACAAAGGCCAAGGCCGCTGACAACAACAACATACAATACACAATAAAACTCATAAGCAAATAATAAACATCAAGCAAAACAATAAAACAGTAAAACGTCAAATGGAAATAATAATTTCCCATTTCTTTGGGGCAAATCGATTAATCATTGCTCAAGATATCTATTGAGCTGGTGGGGTGAGCAGGGCATGGATACGGATGGCAACTATTAATCAGAGGTACAATGGTAGTTTTACCAACTACTATTCCTCCTCCTCGTAAGCCAGTGAGCAAAGGTATGGAGTATTAGAGCATTGGAATTGCACTATAGGGTCACCCCCACTTCCCCGACCTAGTAGAATTCAGTCCAACTAATAATAGAGATAAATAAGGATGCAGATGAACTCCTCTGCCTTCGTAACACCTAGGGAGGAGCAGTGAAGCTTTAAGATGTAGGACTGGGGGAATAAATAGCAGCCACGGCGAGGCTTAACCCAAAAATGAGCAGTGAATTAGAAGTGCAATGAGGTGGGAATGATGAATATTTCGTGTGGAGCTGTTTTCCTTTCCAACCCACAAATGGCAAAGCAGGGGCTGAACCAGGGCTATTTTAGAGAGGGACCAAGTGGGGAGGAGGAACTTGAAACGCAGGAAAAACTGTCACCCTGAATTTGAAGGTTGACATTTAGTAAAAGAGAAGCAGGGTGAAATGGTGCATTTAATAGCTTAATGCCGGCCTGAAGAAAAGAAAATGGGATGCCTCGAGTTGATAAAACCTGTAGAGGGAAACAAAAGAAGAGAGGAATTCAGAGAGAGGCTGTCCTCCTCATTAAACTTGTTTCTGAGTCAGTGGAGATGCTCTGGGGTGGGGAGAAGAGCAAGGCAGCTCCTTTCTATCTGGAGTGATTTTTAATTTCATTTCGTTGTATAATGCTTTCTGCCTTTCACCTGTGGGATGGAAAACCCCAGTGCGGCAAAAAGTAGGGAGCATTCGCTTCCTAAAGCTTTCTGCTTACATTAAATCATTCTCTTTCTATTTATTACCGGATAGACTGTGTTTCCTTGAGCCATCTCTCAAGCTACTGCTGACGTATGGCAGAAACTGCTGGCTTTTACTTCCAGAAGAGATGAATTTTCAGGGGTTGGGGAAAGTTGGCTTCTCTGTGAAAAATAGTTCGCAAAAGTCCTTTGGCGGTAAAGTGGTGTCACTGGGAGATAATCCATTGTAGCTCAGGGTGAAAGGTACACTGATACCCATAAAATTATGCTTTGCTCTGAAGTTAAAAGTCCACGGTTTTGTAGCAATTTCACTGTGTTTCTTTTAACACTTTGATTTTCCTGCTCCATTTATTATTTTCAACCTGAAAAGTAGCCTGGGAGTTCAAGTCCAGGTTTCCCCATATTGGATGATGTTGCAGAGATGTGTCATGGCCATTGCAAATATATAGAACTGGACTTTATCTCCTTTTATTGCCTTCATGGGTTAACGGCAGATATCTAACTTGCCATAGTTGTGCTCAGCATATGCATAATAACACAACGTCACTTGAAATCCAGCTGTACACATCTCCCTCCTCAAGCCCTTTGAATATTTCTTGTGCTTATGCTAAACTTGGGATACTTTCTCCATCTGCTGCCTCTCTCTCTTCTGTCTTTATGTATCTCAGGGCCCTTTCACACTATAGAGTTATAGTGCTATTATTCCACTATAGCTGCCATGATTCCATTCTGAGACACTGGAACACTCTAAATGTTCCTCCCTCTGCTTCCAGTCCCATGAGACAGAACTGTAGTAGTTAAAATGGAATCACAGTGCTATAAATCCATAGTGTGAATGGGACCTCAGTGTGGAAATTAGAGGTACAGCAAAGATACAATTAAGAATCATTGCACATAAAGGGCAGAGTTGGTGGTGAGGTTGTGGGTAGATAGATGTTCCAGTCAGCTGCTGAAAGCCAATTGTTATATTTGCAAGGGCTTGAAGGTTTTGTGTTATTTTCAATAAAGATTGTCAGATAGAGGCAGCAGGATTGATCACGAATGCCCTGATTCTTTAGTGTGTCATGGTAGAGCAATGCATAGAATCAAAGAGTTGGAAGAGACCTCATGGGCCATCCAGTCCAACCCCCTGCCAAGAAGCAGGAATATTGCATTCAAAGCACCCCTGACAGATGACCATCCAGCCTCTGTTGACCATCCAGCCTCCACCACACTCCGGGGCAGAGAGTTCCACTGCTGAACAGCTCTCACAGTCAGGAAGTTCTTCCTCATGTTCAGATGGAATCTCCTTTCTTGTAGTTTGGAGCCATTGTTCCGCGTCCTAGTCTCCAGGGCAGC